TGGCCTGCTGTGTTCATCCAGCTCTGCACCTTGTTATCTAGATTCTCCAGCTTTTGCAGTTCCTACTATCTCTTCAGCAGGATCTTCTTTCCTGCAGAGCCACCTAGCCAAATCCAATTCTCAAGAGTTCATTTTTCCTCTGTCTAAACATTCAGGGGTAACTGGGGTATCTGATTAAACACAGCAAACTAGTTGTTTGCAAACTTTAGGTCAGCTTTCTTTACACTAACTTATATTTTTACTGAAACCTACCCATCTCCATTTAGAGAATAGCTCTGCTCTCAGCAATTTTCTCCATAGCACGTGCACATCTTTCTTACTTCTCAGCTGGATCAAAAGCCAAAGCATTATTTCAAAACATACAAAGGCATAATAAAACAAACTCAAAAATTTTAAAAATAAACTTTCATTCACCTTAAACTGAAACTAAGGGTTTTTAGTAAAAAATCAGCCTAGTGTCAACTTCAGGAATTTTCATGGATGTTTTCTTTCCAGCAGCTCAAGCAAGTATTCTCACACTATTCTCTGGCTTGGCTCATTAGCAATGGACCGTGTCTCTATGGTGCCCAACGTGTGCTGTGGTGCATTTACCAGAGACAGAAGTCTAGGTCACTGCTGGAACTTTCCAGATTTCCTGGTGCCATTTTTAAAAATGCAGTTGTGCACCAGGCCAAGTGACATCAGTCAGCTGCTGTCGTTCATGCTTCCCGAGTGTGAAAAGTTGACCCAGAGATGGCTAAGAATGGGAGGTTAGCCCACTGCTTCACCACCAGGAACCTGCAGGCCCTGGTTTGTGGAATGATGCAAACGAGGATCTTCTGCTTTCCTCAGGTTAATCCAGGAGATTATCGCACAATGCCCTGCCAGCCTGGTCTGAAGTTGCCACCCAGGTCAGTGTAGCGTCCATAGTCTGGAGAAATACTCCACGAAGCTTAAATGAGCTTCAGGGCTCTGCAAGGGGGAAGTGTTACCATCTACTCTTCGCTACTTCACACTCACTCTCTCTGCTAATGAACCCAACTCCTACCTTGGCTCACGGTCTACCACACTACTGAGTGCAACATCTTCCTTCACTCGCTGTCACCTACTCCAATCCCCATCCCCCCATACTAGTAACACAGTCATTCCGACCTGCATTGTGATGTTTTACGGTTGAAGTTGTGAAGTGAGCAGCTCCTGCACCTTATTGAACTTGGAAGGTGGTGAGACTTCGGGAACCAGGGTGGATCTTTCCGGCTGCAAGATATTGCTTGTAATTCACAGTAATTAGTTGGATAGCCCGGTGTTGTTTAATGTTGCGGTAAAGAGTGCTTGGGGCCAGGGGTTTTGGTCAACATGGTTGGTCAATACACAAGGTCCACACACAGCATCTTTTGTCTTTCACATGCAACATGTGCATTTAATACTGCTGACTTTCAAAGGGCCTCACATCACACAAAAATGGACTCTACCCAAAGAATAAAATATTTCCTCTGCCCACTCCAGGTGTGGCAACAGCACACTACATACTTGGAGGAGGATGGAAGACACAGAGGTCAACCTACAAAGCAAGTTGCAGGCTCAGCCTCTCAGTCAACACGATCGACGTTCATCTTTCCCATGTTCTCACGCAGCCCATTTCCTTAACTGTCCATCGCCCCACTTTTCCCTGAGCCCCAGGCATTAAGTAGTCATGCCAAACATAGTCATGCACTGACACCCCCCACCCAACTTTGATGCTGGCATGGTGGTTTCGATCAATGACCTCCCCACTCCTACAACAACCCTGGTCTTTCTGCAGTCTATCAACTCCCACCTTCACATGTCGAGACCCCCCCTCTCCACTTCACAATTCTTATTACCTCTGTATCCCAGAACACTGCCTCCAATCCCCACACAATGGACTTCCCCAGCCTCCCCATTGAATCAGTGGCCACTGATAAATTCCAGATGCCCAGGACTTACTATGGTGCACACTCATTGTCCAATGTGGAGAGACAGGCCCAACTGGTGAATTACCAGATTTCTGACTATGCAGCTCCATGGCTGACTTAGTACAAAGCCCCAGAGACACTGAATTAGATCTGCAGGTCTGACTATGGCCCATGTCAGACTGTACAGGTATGAAACCCCAGACCCTTGATGTTAAGCATCCAATTGACTGTGTCCAAGCCCCAGACTGATATCAGATGCTGCCTGCAACCTACCACGCTGGTACCCCCTGACTGAAGATTGTCTGTAGAATTTGAGACATGGCAATTCGGTTGAAGCACATACAGTGTGTTTACCATGTAGGCTGCTGGAACCCCGCTTGACTGATTACTGCTAACAACCATGGCATACTGCCTGGTTTTGTGTCTGCTCTAAGCAGCAAGGCAAGACAGAGGTAGTGTTAACCTTTTAAGTTCTGAATGAGTTGGGAAAACACAAGAAGGCAAGGCAAGTTAGAGATGGTATGATTATCCAAGTAGGAGCAGATTAAGTAAGTGAGGAGTCCAAAGTTTCAGCACGCTGGAGTCCATCGAGTGGGTGCTAGTCCCTGCACGCAAAGTATGCTGGCAGCAGCATTACAGTGGAAGGTGTCAGCGAGTGCCAAATTGCAGTATTAAAATGCAGAACTATGTTTTAAATGAGTTGGAGATGTGCATGATGATGCAATTAGGCTGGAATGTGTTTGATACCAACCTCTGTGGAACAGCGGCTGTAGGCATTAGGACATACGAGGCATACCTTGAGATGTTAAGATTACTGTCCAAGATGGAGCCCTGGAAGATCCAGCAGCGAGCTAGATCAGCCTAGTACTAACTCTAAATTTCACATGAAGAATTCTCACCATTTAGTTTCAATCTGGGGCATGGGAGAACACACATCAATGAGGTGTGATTCAATATTAATGAAATGCTAATGTTGGCAAATAGTTCAATACTTGGGTGCAGAGCTGAACTTTTTTTCCCCTGACATGAAGAATCTCATTTTTTTTGCCAATCTTGCTGCATTTTCCCAACTGATTCATCATGGCCTATGCCATTCAGGGGCTGTGAAGGTTCCACCCCAAAACTCTATAGTTTTTACACTGACATCCTCCTTGCCATCTTTGGAACTGCACAACACATCATCCCCACACTATCCGAAGCAAACGAGAAAGCTTAGCAGATGGTGAACATTGCGAAACAGGATCATCAAAAATCAATCCAATCTAGTGCAAATGCATACAAAGCAAATGAGGACAGCTGCATTTACTGAAGGCATGTAAAGTAGTATAATCCATTGACTAATGTCTACTGCTCTAGTAGACTACTTTTCCAATAGCTGAAAATCCACCAACTCAGAAAGTGTAACAGGAATGAGTTACAAAATCAAAATGAAATGATAGAAAACCTAAGCAAAACAAAAAGCTAAAATGCTGGAAATCAGAAACAAAAACAAAAACAGAAATTGCTGGAAAACCTCAGCAGGCCTGGCAGCATCTGTGGAGACAAAACAGTTCACACTTCATGTCCAGTGACCCTTCTTCAGGCCAGAAAATCTAATTTCACTTTGATAAAGCTGCCAACTCATTGCCAGAGCGGTGAGAAATTAGAAAGGGAGCAAATGTACATCACACTTAGCAAAGGTCAGCACGATTAGTTACTTGGGATCTCCTAGAGAAATTGCCACCTTGATTGTACATTGTGAAAATCAATAACCAGATAAATTTTCACACTTACTGAGGAACCGTATGCAACGAGAGAAGCTGCTTCATTGCAGACTACAGTTAATTCGGCAAATTTAACTAATCGAGCAAGGAACTGAAACAAAATCAGTGCCAGAAGTCAACCATTCATAGAGGCACAGAGCTTTACAGCATGGGAGATTCTCAAAATGCGTAATGGATTAGCAGCACATTTCCAAGAGCAGCAACACTACACAATGAACAGTCACTAGATGATCAGCCAAACACAATTCACACACATTCCCTAAAATACCTGAATGATATGTACAATGCATATTTTGGAACATACTAAATTGGAACAGGTCAGAGAAAGCAACTATGTTCCTGCATCAGAGATAGTAGGAACTGCAGATGCTGGAGAATCTGAGACAACAAGGTGCAGAGCTGGATGAACACAGCAGGCCAAGCAGCATCATAGGAGCAGGAAGGCTGACGTTTCGGGCCTAGACCCTTCATCAGAAATGGGGGAGGGGAAGGGGGTTCTGAAATAAATAGGGAGAGAGGGGGAAGATGGGAAGAGGAGAAGATGGATAGAGGAAGAGATAAGTGGAGAGGAAACAGACAGGTCAAAGAGACGGGGATGGAGCCAGTAAAGATGAGTGTAGGTGGGGAGATAGGGAGGAGATAGGTCAGTCCAGGGAGGACGGACAGGTCAAGGGGGCGGGATGAGGAAATGGGGGTGCGACTTGAGGTGGGAGGAGAGGATAGGTGGGAGGCAGGGACGAGGTGGGCTGGTTTTGGGATGCGGTAGGGGGAGGGGAGATTTTGAAGCTTGTGAAATCCACATTGATACCATTAGGCTCCAGGGTTCCCAAGCGGAATATGAGTTGCTGTTCCTGCAACCTTCAGGTGGTATCGTTGTGGCACTGCAGGAGGCCCAGGATGGACATGTCGTCTGAAGAACGGGAGGGGGAGTTGAAATGGTTTGCGACTGGGAGGTGCAGTTGTTTATTGTGAACCCAGCGTAGGTGTTCTGCAAAGCGGTCCCCAAGCCTCCGCTTGGTTTCCCCGATGTAGAGGAGGCCACAACAGGTATTTCTTTTGTAGACTAAGTGTGTGAAGAATTTGGAAATGATAGTGCTTTTTTTGTGCAAAGAGAATGTTTGAATAAATGCCTTTTTATAGCGTGGCTTGCCATGCTCACGTGACCTTAATATGCAAAAAGGGTTTAGGCTAGTGTCTATTTCACAAACAACATGGAACAATTATGACATAACATCAATTTTATTCCTTCTCAACTCCCTGCAGTCTTTGCCATGGTTGGTTACTCAGTCTTCCAATATCTTTCTTTTGCTGTCTGCTTAGTGAGACTTTCTCAGTTCCACTCTTACCGAAACAATCAAAGCCAGAGATTCTCCAGCAATACATTTCTTCCCAACCTGCACAAGTTCCTTTGCATCTCCCAAGGAACTATCTTTCACTTCCTCTTCATCTGCATACTCATCCTTTGTGAAATCTTCCAAAATAACAAAGTTAGGTTCCATATATATGTACACATCACTAAATACGTTCCCACCATAATATCTTTCAACCGTTTCATCGTTGTTGTGTTATGGACCTAAATAGCTCAACATAAAGCAACTGCTGATCATGGGCGTCATCTGTTCTGCGCAGTTCAGTGCTATACATCAGAATAGATTTAACATTTAGCATTGAAGATCTGTTGCTGAAAATTCTCAAAATGTCATGGTTTACAAAAAGCTAATAATGCACTTCAAAAAGGTCTGACTATATTTGGTCAATTTTGCAGTTGCTTACTTCTCAAAATGTTGATCAGAAATGGAGAAACAGTAGGTTTCTAGGATCTTTCGCAATTCAGCAAGCGATATTGTGCCAGTCCTTTCAGGATCGCTCTTCATTAAAGCCTTTTGCATGTCTTTCCAATTTTGATTAATTTTGTTACGGAGAAGATCTTCCACCTGGTTGAAATGTTGAGCATAAAATGTTTGTAGACAGAAGTTTGATAGTGCTATTAGACACAAACATCCCGTATGTGTACTATCATCCTTCTGAACTTCATAACTTTGACTCCTGAATTAATGTTAGTCAAAAGGTTGACACAGAGCATGTTAGTAATCCTTTTGTTACTTTTCAGTCTGTGCTTTTATTGGGTCTACAGGAAAACCACAAAAGAAATTTGACCAATGCTTTGAGCTTCTACTGAAACAGGCAAAATGGACCTTGGCTCAATATTTCATCCTTCAGTTAAGCAAAACTTTATTAATACCATGTTAATGATTGAGCTGAGATTATGTGTTCAAGTTTCAGAAAACACTGCAAAGCCACAAGCTGCTAACTAGAAGGAAATTTGACACTTGTAATGATCCTGGATTCATGGCCTTTTACTGTGTTCAACTGCTGTCAAAAATTAGCTGCTTGTAAAATAATAAGAGTCAGGTGTAGGATTTATCATTATTTTCAGTAAAGTATTGTCTGTGCAATGAACGTAACGTGGGAAGGAGTAGGGGAGTCAAACTAACTGGATTGTTGATTGAAGGAGACCTCAGAGATTCAATGGGACAAATGACTTCCTCTGTGCACTAGTACTCTGTAATTCTATGAAAAATGTTCTAATACAGAATAAAATAGAGACCAAATTGATTGAGATTACAAAGAATGTAGACAGTGTTGATAAAAAGAAACTATTCTCTTGGTGGAAGAGTTGATAACCAGGATTTAAAGGTGATTGTCAAAGAACCAATGGTGACACGAGATCAATTTTTTTTTTAAAACGCGAGTGGTTAGGGCCTGGAATGTACAGCCTGGCAGTGTAGTGGAGACAGGTTCAACAGATATCTTAAGGGGGCTTAGATAAGCACATGAAGACAGCTACAGGAAAAAGGGAGACAATTGGGACTAGTGGAGTTGCTCTTAGTAGAGTGACATAGACAAATCAGCCAAACAGCCTTCTTCTATACTACAACTTTTCAATGATTCTAGGAACTCCAATCAATTCTAGTAGCAGCAACCTGCACTTATCTTCTGGAATTGTCTGCCTAAAGGCAAATCTGACCCATAGTGCTACAACCTCCAACATGGGTAGGGCAAAGAGGGAGATCCTGAATCAACCCCAACCGGAATGGGGACCAAACCCCATGCTATTGGCACCAATCTGATATACATCACCATCCAGAAAATTGAGCCACACAGCTCCCCAGTCTGAGCAGCCGAAGAAACACATGCTGCTTCATGCATGCTGTAGTTCTGACCTCAAATTTGATTTTAGGCCCTTTTCCATTCATGCTCTACCTAGTCCTTTATTTATTGCTTCTAGGTCTGATCTGTGACATTCCAGCATCTGGACCTCTGAGCTGATGCCTGTTTCAGATTGCAGTGACACAGCCATCCTGTGATAGTAGCTGAGTGGGTCCTGGCTTCGGTTCTGATTCATCTGCATTTCTGTGAAAGCAGCAGTTGTCAGCTGAGAGCAAAAATGTTTTGTACAAATTTGCAGTTTCAGTTTCATTCAAACAACCCGTTTGTTACTGGTTATGTGACATAACATCTGCTTCTCACACCAATGCATAAATCTGTCAAACATTTTTATGGTTATGTGCTGGAGCTATTTATAGGCAATTAAATGTTTGAATAAGGCATGACTGACTTACAACACATTTGTACCTTTCTTGCTCTGAGTATTTGCTTATTAATAAATATAGTTTGACATGTTCACTCCAGAGATTCTACATCTGAAATCTCACTCAGAGTTAATTTGTACTAGGATTTTCTTTTCATGTAAATCACATCAATGCACAATAGAATTAAGACATATTGTCGGATCACACACCCTTAAATATTTTTAAAAAACTGATTTTATTTTTAAAATTACATCTATATAGCATCTATCATGCCCACAGGATGTTCCAAAGTACACTACAGCTTAGGTCATCCTCTCAAAGTGTTGTTACTATTGTAACATAGAAAATGCAGTAGTTAATTTGCGCACGGTTATCTCCCATAAACATTACAATAATGACCAAATAATCTATTTTTTGAATCTAATTGAGGGATAAATATTGTCAGAAGTCCAGCCATATGGTTCTTCTTCAAAATATTGCTATGTGATCTTTTATGTCTGTCAGAAAGAATTGATGGGGCTGCAGTTTAATAGTATAATTTGGATGAAATATCTCCAACAATGCAGCACTTCCTGTCATGCTCTGGCGTGTAACCTTTTGACTCAGATCAAGAGTGCAACCAAGAAAGTGACAGCAGACACTAATGAACATTGATGTTGAGACCTATATGCATAACTTGTAAAAACAAAATAATATAGAACATTTGACAGAAATAATTAGGTAGCATTAACTTACAGTCATCCACACTGCTTCCTCAGGAATACCTTTTTTAACTGTTGTAGCTCCATTCAAATAACTTTGATTCATCTAGTCAGGAAAACAGAAGATATAGTTGTACTGTCAAACTACATACTACAGACTTCATGGAATATTTCCGGAACAGAATTTTGAAGTTTTATGATCTCAGCTGATGTTACTACTGGATGACTCGGATCCCAGACTGAAATTTGGCTTTTTTTTTTTAGTTTTAGCAAAGTGACCTTTCACTGAAACACAAACATGAAAATGCTGCAGGTATGCAAAGAAAAAATTAAATAGAATAAACAAAAGAGAGTCACATTGCATGGAAACAGACCGTTCACTCTAACTCGTCCACGCTGACCAAGTTTCCCCAACTAAACTCGTCCCACTTGCCTGCTTTTGGCACATATCCTTCTAAACCTTTCCTATTCATGTACCTGCCCAAATGTCTTTTAAATGTTGTAACTGTATCTGCATCTACCATTTCCTCTGGCTGTTCATTCCACATATGAACCACCTATTGTGTGAAAAAGTTGCCCCTCAGGTCTCTTAAATCTTTCTCCTCTCACCTTAAAAATATGCTCCCGAGTTTTGAACGCCCCTACCCTGGGGAAAAGACCTTTGCTATTCAGCTTATCTATGTCCCCCATAATTTATAAACCTCTACAAAGTCACCCCTCAACTTCCTTCGCTCCAATGAAAAATGTTCAAGCGTATACTTATAATTCAAACCCTCTAGTCCTGGTAACATCCTGGTAAATCTTTTCTGAATCCCCTCCAATTTAGTAATATCTAATTCACATATAACATTAGTAAAGATTTTGAAACACACAATAAGCAACCTCCCATTAATTCCAACAGCACGCCTTTCCAGTACTCACACAGGAGAGAATTTCTTTCTCTATCACATTTATTTAAATTTACTTTCCACTCTTGAGAACCTGATAGACTTTCTCAGCTTGCAGTAACACCTCAGCTTGCAGTTTCTGCCAAACACTTCTGGTTGGCAAATTTCAAACTAAATACCTTACACTGAGGTTTCTTAACAGTTTTAAATAGTTTCTCTTTAGGAGAAACTTTTACACATCTAACATTAACCACAACTTCTGCAAACTGAAACCGAAAACCTTTCTTCAAGCTATGGATATTCTCCAAAGCCAAAAATGAAAGCACCATTCCAGATCACGCCAATTGCATGCATTACACTATTTATTTTGGAGAGTTTTTAAAATTCCCATTAGCTCTTAAGAATGACACCTCGCATGATTTTTTTTTTTAAACAAACCATGGCTTCAGAAAACCTTAGAGTTTAATTATTAAACCCCTTCTCTCACACACACAGACAAAATTCCATATGCCATTCACTCAAAATCAAATTCTAAAATGGTTTTACATATATGACATACCTTACATGACAAGACACATTAGGATTGATGGCAGGGAAGAGGCAAGCAAACAAGGAAAGAAAGAACAGAGGAGGGAAGAAAGAAAGTGTTGGTTATAGTTGTTTGGTTATGCAGCCTTGTGTATTGGGGAAATGATGACATTTTATTGGAGTTTTTACCTTGCACTCATCAGGATTTGTAAGAAATTTGCAAGAAATGTCAATGTGAAAGGAAAACAACATATCTCCTCTATGAGAAGAAATCGTTGATTAGTTGGTAAGTGGACTCTATTGACAAAATACCAGTAAATAGTGATTGATAGTTAACTGCCAAGCTTTGTTTAAATTTTCAACCAGGTAGTTTAATTGATTAGTCAAGGCCTTGTCCTGCGAATGGCTGTTATCTTTTTCTTCCAAGATTTTAAACAGATGCAGTGTGTATAAGGGCCTGCATATTAACATGTATGGCTTCTAGCACATGCAAGTTCACCATACTTTCAGCTCAATTAAAAAGAATCAGTCAAATGAGACCCATTTTTTGACGTCCTAGGCTTCCTACTCCTGCCATTCACAGTCTTACAAAGCCACTTCATAATTTATATTGTTATGAGGATGTAAATTCTGAAAGATTGTAGAAAAGGAATTCAATTCATGTTCTTTGGACGTATCTTGAGTAGTTGCTTTAAAAGATCAATGAAAGTACACTGTGGACATTGGAATTCTTTTTCAACAATGTTTCCTAGAAATCAAATGACTAGAAATAACTGCTAGCTTTGTTGTAGAACCTACAGCGGCTGTTTTGAACTTGGACTGGTCTGAAGAGATTCTTGCTTTAGTTGTAGTGGAGCCTACTAAGACCTAATTGAGTTGGAGAAAAGCCTGCTAGAAACCTGCTAAGAATGAGCCAAATTGGAGGAAAGCGTGGTACGAACTCTCTCATTTCTGAAAAGAAAACCGTCTACATCAGTTTAGGGTGAAACCTATTTATTCTTTTGACAGCATGATTGAATGAACACCTCAAGATTGTATTTCCTGAGTAAGCTGCGTCTGGAAGACTTCAGAGACAGCCACGCATGATAAGTGAATTGACCACAGATGCCAGTGTAAAAAACAATTTTATTTTTTGGACTGTAATAAGAATTAGAAAGGGAAAATATGCTGCTTTAAACTGAGGAACTTGTGGAAAAAGATGTTGCAGTTATTTAAAAATGAATCAATGGAATCCACTGTGAGTTATATCTAAAATGTTGCCTTACTCAAATGGTTGGGGAGGACTGTGTTCAGGGCAGTTTTGCCCAGAGACTGTCTTTTGATTGTTTTTTTTTTAGAAACAGGACCAGTATTCAAGAGAGGTCAGCATAGTTACAGTTTTTTGATTGGCTCCTGGGCGAGTAGTACAGCTGTCTGTGTGAACAATGCAGGGGAAACATCTAGCCCCCAAAAAGCAAGCATCTAAATCTCCTGTGTGGGAAGTAACAGAAAACCTCCTGGTAGCTATTCTCACTCACCATTTTCCTATAACCATCTCTCTACAAAATTCTCTTGTTGAGAATCTAAACTCAGGAACACTAAAATTATGAATCCTGAAGCAGTGAATGATATCCTGTAAATCAGGCTATCCACAACCATGTAACATTAGCAAATAATCAGAAGATTAGCAACTAGTCAGAAGCTGAAGTAGAACAATTCATCGACCGCTATGATCCAAACAAGTGCTAGAATTGTGCATCTCTGACATTTTTGTTTCTTTCCCACCTATAATATTTGTGTCTTGTTTTCTCTTGTTCTGCATCTGTTTGTATAAGTGTGACAAATTTTTAGAAGGGATAGAGATTAAGTTATAAGGATTTAAGTTAGCAATTCACGTTTCTTTCTTGCCATTAGTCAAAAATTATTTGATTGCAATAAATAGTGATTCATTTAGTTAATGAAAAGCTTGGTTTGCATACTATTTTAATCTGAATTAGAGAGGTAAAAGTGGGCAGTCCTATGCTTTGATCAAATGTTCACATTTGTGATAACTCCGAGAATAGTAGGACTTGATTTTCAGCATACTACCCAACAGAATCATGACACGACAATGTCAGAACAACAAACTGTGGAAAATCCTATACTTTATATGCTTGGAGAATGACAAACATAACCCCACTATTTAAAAAGGGAGGGAGAGAACAAAACAGAATTACAGACCAATTGGCCTAACACCAGTAGTGAGGAAAATACTACAGTCTGATAGCAGAATAATTGGAGAACATTGACGGGATTGAACAAAGACAGAATAAAACTCTAGATGTTGGAAATCTAAAAAAAAACTGAAATTGCTAGAGAAACTCAGCAGATCTGATAGCATCTGTGGAGAGAAAGCAGTCACCATTTTGGGTCCAACATCAGAACTGTTGATACTGTTTTCTCTCCATTTATGCTGCCTGACCTGCTGTGTTTCTCCAGCAATTTCTGTTTTGTATTGGACAAAACGAGAATGGGTTTCTGAATCACACAACAAATCTACTGGAGTTTTGCAGGACATAACTAGTAAAATAGATAATGCTAAACCAGTCGATAGGGTGAAGCTGGCTGTTTCACACTACCATTATTCAATAACAATATGAGTGGTGTTCACCATTAACAGGATGCTGTCATCAAGCCAGAAACACACAATGCCTCTCATACAAATGAATAATGTGGTATATGAATTTCAACCACTATGATGCTAGGTATGTAGGTCACACATTCCAAGAAGTGACTGATCATATCAAACAACATATCTCTTCAGCTGTTCACATCAAGCAAGGTACTGATCGTATCCAAATGACCTGTGTCTGCAAACCTCACAGCCCATTCTCTGAGTCATGTCTCAAGGCATTGGTTTGAACAATCAGAACTAACCACCCTAATTTAAAATTTAAACAAAGCTTGGTAGTTAATTGCTAGTCATAATTAATTGCTGCATTCTCCACAGCAACACCTGAATGAATCAGGGCTCACTTGCCAACCAATCAATACTCTCCTCCCACAGTATAAATGTTGTTTCCTCTTTATATTTGTATTTCTTACAAATTGTCAATTGGTTAGATGCATAGATTTCTATTCCTTTAGTTTACAGATAACTTTAAAGTAAGTGGTATGGTAATTAGTGTAGATGGAATCAGAAAGTTGCAGAAGGACAATGCCAGATGGAGTTAAATGTTCAAAACTATGGCTGACTGAGCTAATTTGTGTAAGTGAGAGGTCATCAATTTGAACCTAAGAAAGATAAAGTAGACGATTTAATAATGGCGAGAAACTATGGATTGTAGAGGCAGCAAATACATTTGGGCTCCAAAAACACAGATCATTTAAAAGTTAGTAAACAGGAGCTAAAGATAATCAAAAGATTAGTGAAAGTTTGCCATTGTCCCATGGTGCCAACTATGCTCCCGTTGTACAGAATCTCGATCGAATATAGTCTGTAGTGGACATTCCAATTCAGGAAGGATATCTCAATCTTAGAGAGGGTGTATTGCAAGAATGATACTGGGCTTAGAAAGTTAAAATAAAAGGTCTGGGAGGTGATCAGTAATATTTACACAATTACTGGTATTTTGAGCACATTGTGAATGGCTGCACCATCAAGCTCTGAATAATGCTCTGAATTATGTAAGTTTTGCTGTCAGAAATTTAATGCAAAACTCTCAAATTCTGTACAGTCATTGCTTATTCCAGATATTTGATTTTAGAGTGTGTTACAATTTTAATAATCCAGAATTTTCAGGGATTTTGATGAAAGATTGTCAAGATTGGTGTTGCTTCCCCTTTGAATTTGACTGCGGCTTCAAGATTAGTTGGAGTGCTGAATAACTTGAAAATCCTGAAATTGAGATCTGTGTTTCATTGCTCTATCACAGGCACACCATTGATCATGTGAAATTAATAACATAAGAACAGAAAGTGCTGGCTAAACCCAGCAGCATCTGTGGTAAGAGAAACAGAGTTAATGTTTCGAGTCCAGTATGACTATTTGGAACAAATTATTTATGTGAAATCACTTGATCTGGTGAGAACTTCCCATTTTTCTGCTGTCATATTGACATTAGAAACCCTGCTAAGAAGTTAAGTCTTGTTCAAAAGCGTACAACTGGGCTTTTAACAGCAAGCTGAGTGACAACTACCGCTGAATAAGTGATCTGGTTCTGAAAAATCATTTATATTTGCAAACTATTAAGTATCTCAATTAAAATAAATTACCAAATTTTTGAAAATATTTTTTAAATTTAAATTTGTAATTTTTTCTAAGTATTTGTTTCACGATGGCACCTCTCTTACTCTAACCTATCATGCATATCTCAGCTTTACTTCATGTTTCCCAACATTTTTAAACAGAGATTTGATTTTAGCATTTTTTGATTTCCTAGTTGACTGTCTGTCATGAATCACAATTTCATTCCTGTGCAGAAGGCGGCCATTTAGCCTATTGTATATGCATTAGCTCTCTGAATATTTTATCCTCATGTTAATCTCCTACCCTTTCCTTCTAACTCTGCACGTTATTTAAATAGAAACAATCGTCCAATACCCTCTGAATGTCTGAATTTCGCCTGACTCCACTGCACTTACAGGCAGGATATTCTAAGCCTTAACAACTCACTGGGTGAAAAAAAACATTCTCACCTTGAATTTGCTTCTTTCCCAAAACACTTTGAAACTGTGCTCTCTGGCTCACAATCAGTTTGAGTCGAAATGGTCTCTTCCCATCCACTCTGCCCAGGTTCCTCATGATTTTGAAAATTTCTATCAAATCTCCTCTTAGCCTTCTCCTCACCAAGAAAAACAGTCCCAACTTCTCCAATCTTATCTCATAACTGAATGTCCCATGCCTGGAACAGTTTTGTAAGCCTCTTCTGCATTCCTGCTACTGAACACATATCCTTCCTTTGGTGCAGTGCCCAAAACTGTACATAACACTCTAGCAGAGGTCTAACCAGTGTCTTAGTGTAATAGTAACTTTCATCATAACCTCCTCACTCTTCTACCTTACACCCTTATTTATCAAGCCTGGATTACTGTATGCTTTATTTACTCGTGTCTTGCCACCTTCAGTGACGTATGTATACATACCAGTCAGGTCTCTCTGCTCCTGCACACCCTTTAGAATAATACAACTTATTCTTTAATGGCATTAACTGCTTGGTCATCTTGATATCCCTGCAGCTTAATGATGGGAATCCCCATTAAAAATACTACAATCAATTACATGTCAAGGAAGTTTATGTTCTTGCTACCGTGATTACAAGACCTTCCAAAGTAGCTTTCTTTGAAGTCAACAGTGAGCATTCTTGTTTTGCCACTGACCACAACATCAAAACCATTATTCTTTTTCTCATTGTGTAACATGCTCTTTGGTGACCTAGGGCAGGCATGATGAATATTAGAAATGGAACAAGAAATCTTTAAAATGTCTTTAAAATTAGCTTCTACTGTAGTCCTCCATTCTCAAAAAAAACTTTAAAAGTTCTATAGTCTCTTCCCATAGGTCAGTGATAATGCGGAGTTCATTTATTTGGAATTACTGCCCCCTCCCTGTTCTCTGCACATGTGCACATCATTGTTCAGTTAGTTCAAGATAAATTGTTTTATATACCTTTTCTTCATCAGTTTCAGTTAAATCCAGGATCTGATTATAGTGAACAATCCCACTGTGCTCTGGGTCCAGCAACAGCATAAGATCCTTAACCTGTTTATCAGTTAGTCGTAACGGAACACTCTGCAGAATTCGACGCAACTCTCGTCTAGTGATTATACCTTTGTGATTCTGAGGAAGAACAAATTTTCTTGATTACAAATGCATTGAGCAATAATTTAAGATAAGGAACAATGGCAGACTCCAAAACTCAGATTCCTTACATTCCCTAAAACAAGTTCAGATTTTCTGTTTCAAGGCATTGCAAGATTGAAATACATTCTAATACCTCATTGCAATGGTCATTCAGAGCAAGCAAACAACAGTAACTTAAAACTTCTCAATACCTTCTTTAGTGCAGGGTATCTCTCCTGTAAGGATTTGTGTAGTTTCTGTAGAATGTCTCTACTCTTGCTCTTCTCAATTATCTTTCCAACAGGATCCACACTGTGACGGGACAAATGTCAATGTTCGAATAGATATAAATTCATGTTGAAAACTGAAGATAAAGTAATAAAGCCTGGAATTTGCTTGAAGATTTCAAAAAATATTTTAAACTGAGAAATCAGCACAACAAGCACCAAAAAGTTAAGATCACAGCCTTTCAAACAACTATTTTAATCAACAGAAAATAATATTTATAATAATATTTTTAAAATAAAAATAACTAATTAAACATGGAAAGTAATCACAAACTTACTGAAACTTCATTTCATGATTTTCTGATCTACAAGGGGCTGACTTTGGAGCATCTGTAGTACCAGGTATGGTTTCATCCTGCAAAGATCTACACAAAATTTAATATTAAGTCTGTTTTCTCTCCACAGGTGCTGCCAGACCTGCTGAGTTTCTCTGGCGCTTTCTGTTTTTATTTGTTTCAGATCTCCAGCATCCACAGTTCTTTTATTTTAAACAAAAGTCATCTTACATTTGCACAGTGTTGTCACTTTTGCGGACTGGATTTTACTGTAGCAAATTGGGCAAACTGTCATCCTCTGAGGCAAGTATAAAGTAGGGTATGATGACATCAGGTCGTTGTGCCTTCATGATTAAGGAAGGTGAGTGGCTGCAGAAATCGGAAACCTATCTATCATTTTAAAATTAATGAACACGTCCTAGGATTAGCCACTGAGCACGTGTGTGTGGAGCTATGTCATAATGACATCAAATCATATGATACTGGAACCTGAGTTTGTAGGGTTCTATCAATTCCTTGTGTATAGACATGTTTAATGAAGCCTGTTAATGGTCATTCTGATTAATGTAAACCTGGCGGGAGCAGCTTTGAACAGACTGATGAAACCAGATGCATGTGGTTAGAATGTGAGAGGTGGAGCCCAGAGACAGCACATTGCAAAGAGTGAAAAATGAGGCCAGCCCAGCATGCTGGCCCTAGAAACGGATGAAGAGAAACACAGCAGTGACAGGAAGCACCTAGTGATAGATTTCTAGCCCCACAAAGATGCAAAGGCCACACAAAGATAACCTGGCCGACTATCCATTTTCTCCTTGTTTACCCTATCCTTTGACATGTCTCTCTCTGGGCTCCGTCTCCATCTATCCACCCGCTTCTCCCCTTCTTCTCACCCCTCACCCACACTGCAACTTCAGCATAAATACCAATTTTTTCCCCAGCTGTTAGCAATTTTTATTAAGAGTCATCAGAATCGAAACTTTAACTCTGCTCTCTTCCCACAGATGCTGCCAGACTGGCTAAGTTTCTCTAGCAATTTCTTTTTTAGTTTCCTCACTGACAATGATGCACTTTACTTTCTGATCGAATTCCAGAAATATTCTTAACAGCAGAGTAGTTGCTGTCCCACTCCACCTCTGTTCTCATCCTCCAAATCAACCTACAAAAGTTTAAGAGAGCTGAGAATGCTATTGGGGTGGGGCTCATTTGATCTGCAAAGGACACTGTCATAACTGTCAGGCCACAGTGGCCACTGGCTATCCAGTGGTGGAGTTACCCATCTACGTTCAGACATTTTTCAAATTAAACATTTTCGCCTGAACTTTAGAGGCTGCTTCAATTGTGAAGTGCTGTCTCTCCCTCTGCAGCCCTCTGATAATGGGTTGCCAATATGTTTCTTATTGGCCAGACACATCAAGGGGTGGGAATTCATACAAGATTCCACCGTTAGGGCTCACAAAATGGAAAATCCTGCCCAAATAATTTACCGGCATATTTAAATGCCAGTCCAATACAAAATGTTCAAACTGTTGTCAAATGCTATCAAAACTTCAAATGCATAGGTGCTGGTTGAAAATATGTGAATCACCATTGCCACAACCTATCCCGTTCACACAAAACCGTAATCTTGTTCAACTTTTTTTTTTACAAATTTTCTCGAAAGCATAAAGCAACTTCAAAATAAAACTAGCACAGTGGAATCAAGAAAAGCCGCAAAATTGTAAAGACAACCTGGTTTTACTGACCCACTTTCTACTACCTTGAGAAACAAGCAACTGGCATTTAACTGGCATTAGCAATTACAGGAAAAACAGCAGATTACTACAAACAATTAATAATCTTACAATCCTAAGGGATAGACCTACTTGTCACTTTGCTGCATTGGGATGGCCCATCTATTCTCCATTGCTGTTGATTCTGTCAAACTGAGTAAAAATGGTTTCCATGCAATTTTGCCAGTAGGTTTAATATTGATTCTGAACCAAAAGACAAAATGTACAACAATGAAAGGAAATCTTGAATTAAAGCTCATTAAAACTATTGATTCTACGGATCATGTAAATTAGGCCCCTCAAGGATTTTACCTCAACCAAATACTTTCTTGTAGAAACACATACAGATAAAATATGTATTGTTTTAAAGTAATCAAGTAAAACATTTGGAATATATTTGTTTAACCATACAATCTGAATTCTTCAAATAGGACTGGATCAAATTCCAATTGTAACTCATCCATTGCCCCAAATGTACATGTATAATGACACTTTGTTGATGATTAAACTAGTTTTTTTTAGTACAAGCCATCACTCAGGGGCTAGGTGACACAGTTAGATGGGAATGATAGACTACTGATTGTCCTTCACAGCCAAGACATCTCTGGTCAGGCAGCATGTGGTGTCTCCTAATACACTTCAAAGTCACCTCAAGTAACTAGTGAACATCAAAGTCTTTTTGGGGCCACGAAATAACAACATAATTTATTTTCACAATCAATCCATTCAATTTTATTCATCAATGTATTTTAGTTAATCATTTGTGCACCTTTAAAAAGGGTTCATTTGATAAAGATCAGCCAAATGACCATATCAAAGTAAGCAAGTGTAATGAAGGTTTAAAATATATTATAATTTGGAAAGTTAGGTTCTAAAGTAGAGGTAAACAGGTTTTGTTGCTCAGTTCTATGAAGGTGATTTTTTTTTTTGAAAAGTCAAACTTTTTTTAAGCTGTGTGTCAGAACAGTTTTCTTCCAAGATATCTTGTGACTTAGGCTAAATGACGAGAGAAACTACCTGGTGAGACAATTGCTTAAAATTTACTTATTTAAGATTTATCAGCCAGAGCACAAGTAGGGCTACACGCATTCCTAGCACAGAAACAAAATTCCAGACCAGAAGGGCATTTAGTTTTGGCTCTGTTCAAAACTAAATCAAATTTCAATCAATAACTTGATTGCTAAAACAATCAAGTAGACATGCAGGAAAAACCACTGAGTTTTTATTTAGAGTACAGTGAGTTAGTTTGTGCCTGTCTCAGGACACTCAGTAAATGAGTGAATGACATCTGGTGAATGTGCAGAAATTTAACAAAAAGAGATGTTTGTAACCTCAGTATTTAGCTAAGAAATTAAAACGTGAAAACAAGTGATATTTCATTGGGGTCAAGCGTATGTAAAAGATATTGCTGAGAAAAAGGACTGAACCTTTTACTTTGCCATTTACAAGATCATTCCAAATTGTGTTATACGTGTAGTTTTATTTTATCTTATGTAATAAACTTACGGTAAGAAGTACATTTGCAGTCTCTCATAAATGTGTTCTGGGACTGACCACTATGGTAACCAAGTTGAAAAACTAAAACTTATGGTATATTAAGCCAGGTTTCACTCTGGGATCTGACTAATCTAGTATTACCATAACACAAATGGGTTCAAGCCAATCTAGACTAAGGAATGAAAACCTACATTGTCTATTCACTGCATGCATCATTAAGAGACTGATCAGTCTAATTTCAAGTGAGCATGTACCCAGAAACAAAAATGAGAAGCCTGAATTTGACAAAGATCATGGGAAGCAAGACAAGTAACAAATCCACTTGATTATGCTAGTAATAGTCCCAGATCTAGATCATTAATGTCTAGGCATTATCTGCATACTGGAACATAGCTGAGAGCAGGTTCTATGCATTAACAGGCTGTCACCAGCTATCCCAAAGACAATGGTACATCTGCAGAGGAGCGAATAAGATGAAGGGTCAGTAGGTGAACTGTCAAATTTACTATCCATGCTACTATACGGTCTTGGTCCACTTATGAGTAATGCAGTCCAGAGATTGCATCTGGGACTTCTCTAGTGTGCGTGTGACTGAATTATCTATGACAATAGCCAGCTAATTCCATCAGAGGAATGCACTGTCGTTCACTGCAGCTATTCTGCACCCCACTATATCCATATCAAAAAAAGTACTGTTTTATGACTCACTTATGCTGCATTAACTTCAGATAATTAATTTCAAGATAAAAAAATGTCACAGTCGGGGTCATAGAGATTCACAGCAGCGAAAAAGGCTGTTCAGCTCATCAGGTCTGTGCTGGAAACAACCAGCTCCAGTAGATTCTAATTCTAATTCCATTATCCAGCACTTGGCCTATAGCCTTGTATGCCTTGGCACTAGAAGCGTACAATAAACATTTCTTAAATGTTATGACAGCTTCAGGCTCTATACATCACCCATAGATGTAGTGAGTTCTAGATTCCCACCAGCCGCTTGGTGAAAACATTTCTCATATCCCCTCTAAACCTCCTTTGAGTCATGGAGTTGTAGAGATGTACAGCACGGGAACAGACCAATCAGTCCAACTCGTCCATGCTGGCCAGATATCCTGAAGTAATCTAGTCTCATTTGCCAGCATTTGGCCCATATCCCTCTAAACCCTTCCTATTCATATACTCATCCAGATGCCTGTTAAATGTTGTAATTGTACCAGCTTCCACCACTTCCTCTGGCAGCTCATTCCATATACGCACCACCTTCTGCATGAAGAAGTTGCCCCTTAGATCCCTTTTAAATCTTTCGCCTCTCACCTTAAACCTATGCCGTCTAGTTTTGGACTCCCCAACCTCTGGGAAAAGACCTTGTCTATTTACCCTGTGAATGCCCCTCATGATTTTATAAACCTCTATTAGGTCACTCCTCAGCCTCCAACACTCCAGGGAAAATAGCCCCAGTTTATTCAACCTCTCCCTCTAGCTCAAACCCTCCAACACTGGCAACATCCTTGTAAAACTTTTCTGAACCCTTTCAAGTTTCACAATATCCTTCCGAAAGCAGGGAGACTAGAATTGCACAGTGTTCCAATAGAGACCGAACATTGACTTATCTTAAATCCTTGCTCCTCGGTCATTAAACTCTCCTCCAAAGGAAAAAGTTTGTTCCTGTCTATGCCTCTCATAATTTCATGCATCTCAATCTGCTTCTCCCACACCGCCCACCTCATTCTCCTCTGCTCCAAGGAAAACAACTCCAGACTATCCGATCTCCTCTGCACCCTCTCCAGTGCAATCACGTCATTCCTATAACATGGATCCCAGAACTGCAGACAATACTTAACCAATTTTTATTCGGTTCCAGCAACAACTTACCTGCTCTTAAACTCTATGCCTCAGCTAATAAAGGCAAGTATCCCATTTGCATTTTTAATCGCTTTATCTAACTGTCCCACTACCTTAAGGGACCAATGGACATGAGCACCAAAGACCCTATGATCCTTGGTGCTTCCCATGGTCCTACCATTCATCGTGTAATGTTGGATGAACAACTGTTATTGATAATGAGCACTTAGTTTAAGACAGAAAAAAAGCAATTGATGGTATAATTGTTTGACTTATAGCAACATTAAAGCTAGGGGTAAAAATATAAACAATTGATAGAATATAGATCAAGGGGGATCAAAACTAATGCTGTGAATGACTAGTATGAAGGTAAGATTATCTACAGTGTAATCGTAAATAACATTGCATTTGGACTGATGCTTTCTTTGATGTTTCTAGGTAAAGTGTACACCATAACTTGGTATTAACTGGTAGCCACCAGAGATTTCAGCCATTAGTTAGGCTTTGTATAGACAACAAAATATGTTTGCAATGTTTAACAGAACAGTATTGCAAAAACAAACTACAATCGGTACCAAGATTTTAAAAAAATGCTTAGAATCCTCAGAAAACATTTCTAAACATAATCAAAATACTATTTAAGGTATGGTCCCTCTCATCTCACCTATCCATCAGGCGATCAAAGATTTCGTTGCTCAGAGGAAACACAAAATTGTTGAAAATTGCTTTGAGGTCTTCCACTGAAATTAAACCACTTTTGGTCTCATCAAAAGCCGCAAACACCTGCAACAAGCCCTGATAGTTGGTTCGCACCTGGGAATAAAAGAGGAGCAGGCTGCTAACTCTACTTTTTTAAATCAAACAGCATCACACAATATTAAAAATTACATTTAAAAATGGAAATGGAAACCTGTGGGCATTGAACGTAACAACAAAAGGATTGAGAGAAGTTAACCGTACAGGCTGTTCAACAAGATCCCGTTTGATCTTTGAACTCAATTCCACTTCCCTACTAAACTTTCCTAAAGTACAAACATCTATCAGCTCTGAATATACTTGACAATCAAGTATCCTAGCCCAATGTGGCAGGAAATTCCAAAGATTAATAAATGTCTGAGGTAACAAATTCTTCCTCATCTCAGATTTAAACAAATCAGCCCTCATCCTGAGAACATGTTTTCCCCCACACACTGTTATCTAGACTCTCCATCCAGAAGGAATAAACTCTCAGTACCTAACCTGATTCCCTCAGAATCTTATAAGTTTCCACGAGTTCACTTCTCATTCTTCTATTCCAGAGATAGGTCCAATCTACCCAACCGGTCATTAGAGAACAGCTCTCTCATTCCAGGAATCAATCTTGTAGGTTTGTGGATTTGCATAACTTTGCTTTTACCATATTTGAATTTTCTATCTGTAACTTGTGTAAATTGAACATGCACCCACTAATTTGTTTCTGTGTGATGGTCTTAATTGCAGATTAAGTAGCAAAATCTCAGCCGTGATTTAGGACTAAAGTGGAAACTTGATCAGAAAGCAAACAACTGAGTGACACAAATACTATGGAGCAGATCAAAAAATACCTTGCAATGTGGATTGGTTAGCAACTTATCTGAGAAGAACAATTACTCTAACATCTTTTAATTAATTTATTACACAACACAAACTATTACATTTTGGGGTACTTGTACATGTTCCTATATGCAGTGGAATAACAAAATGACTTGTGCACAAAATAAAATCTAACTTCAGCATGGCACTCTAGCCATCTCCTCCTTCCCACTGTCTCCCATATTTCCCGAAGATAACTTGTACTGAGATAGTTTTCACTTATGCCAACTAATCCTCCAGTCCTCTGGGTACTTCTAACATAAGTTGCATTGGGAGCGCTAGCTAGTTATCAATCATGCAACATCACACCCAAGTCTCTCTCAATGTATCTATAAATGCAAACCTTCAGAGTAACCACTGATTACTTCTGAATAAATCAGAGTGACCAAATTTTACTAAAAAAACAGCTAAGTGTCAATTTCAGGGAGTTTCACAAGGGTTTACCTCGAGTTATCTCACACAATTCTCTGCTGCTCACCTCAATAAGTATGGACAATGCCTCTACAGCATCTCACTTATGCCATCGTGCATTCACTAGTGGCGGATGTGCTCACTGCTGTAGGACCTTCTGGGATTCTCATTGTCATTGCCAAAGCCTAGCTGTGCACCATATCAGGTGCTGCCAGTCAGGATTAGGCCTTCACAGTAAATGTAGTGAGATCGAAATGGAAAAGAAAAGCTTCTGACAGCACAAGTGGCACAGGTGACACTTCTTTTGAAAAAGCAGAGCACATTCATAAACGTATTGCCTCTTTCTATCATCATCTGACTGACTGACCATCAGTCTAATTACAACTACAAGCAAGAAGCTAGAGAAGATACCTGTCCTTAAACTCATTCCATGATGGAACCCTGTCTGAAGCAGTGCTACTCTTCATCTCATACCCATCGTAGCATTAAATCACGTCATTTTTGAATGTGAATCATCACACTTTGTAAAACCTTCAAACAGTTGTTTATGGTAATTCTTATTAATCAACAAGAAAAGCAAAGGAACAACAAACAAAAATGCTGTATTTGCTTCTGGGACTAAACAGGGCTGTTTGCCTTTTGAACACGAACAAATTTACAATCACCGAATGGTGACATCACTAAACTCAGATCTGTTTGAGGTGGGCGTCTATTAATTGCTAATAAAAACCAAAAGAACTGCAGATGCTGTAAATCAGAAACAAAAACAGGATTTTCTGGAAAAGCTCAGCAGGTCTGGCAGCATCTGTGAAGAGAAATCAGAGTTAACACTTTGGGTCCAGTGACCTGAACCTGAGGAAGGGTCACCGGACGTGAAACATTAACTCTGATTTCTCTTCACAGATGCTGCCAGACCTGCTGAGCTTTTCCAGCAACTTCCGTTTTTGTGTTTACTAGGCGCTGTCTGGCTTGTTGTGCCTGATGCTGCTTCACTCTATCATGGTGAAGGTGATGTTCCTCCTGTTCAATGTCCTCATCTTCCTCCTCAGAAGAATGTTGCCACTCTCCCAGCTCTTCAATGTCCATTATATCCTCCCTTTGCCTGATCCAGTTCTGCTGAGCACAGGATGCAAGGCTTTTCCAGTATTCTGTCTTTCAGCCTTTCACCTGCTCCATGACGGCCTTGCTGGAAGAATGGACTACACTGTATCTGTAATCAGCCTCATGTGGGGGACTGCATAATAGAATTGTCAGCTCAGAGTGTGGACGATAGTCTTGCTCTCCGAGTAGCCATTCAACACTTGAAATGAAGAACTGACAGTTCTCAAGGCAGCTTCCAGAGTACCTGGGGCAGATATCTAAGATGTGGAAACAATGATCACAGAAGACTTGTACATTGACCAAATGAAACAATTTCTATTGAAGAAGTTAGCTGCGTAATGAAAAGCCCCTCTCACTGTGATGTGTATACAATCTATAGTGCCCTATACCTGGGGAAAGCCAGCTATGTTGGCTTACTGCAGAGAATGGAGAAACAGAATCTGAACGGATAGAGATCTGATCACTTCTCTGCATTTGGCTCCCAGCCCCAAGCTGTCCATTTACCTAACAACCAATATCACAGTTGTTGGCAGGCAAAAGGCCTCTGTTATTGATAACTGATAGAACAACCATAGTCATGGTCACAGTCCAGTCAACATCATCTTACCAACCAAAACTCCACCAACACAGAAGGCCTTGGCTCCAGTTCGTCTGCAACTTTAATTTTCAATACTTCTTGTTCCTATAGTTGTTTAAATTATGTTTGCCATAAGTGTCAGGTTATTTGCTTTTTAGAACATACAGCAATCCTTGAAAACATAGATAGAGTCATTGAGTCATACAGCACAGAAACAGATACTTCGGACCAACTTGTCCACACTGACCAGCTTTCCTAAGCTGAACTGCATTTGTCCCTTATCCCTCTAAAGCATTCCTATCCATGTATCTGTCCAAATGTCTTTTAAACATTGTAATTGTACCCACCTCTACCACTTCCTCTGGCAGCTCATACCACATATGAACAACTCTTTACGTACAAAAAGTTGCCCCTCAGGTCCCTTTTAAATCTTCCCCCTCTTAACTTAAACCTATTGTCTCTAGTTTTGGATTCTCCTATCCTGGGGAAAAGAGCTTGACTATTCACCTTATCTATGGCCTCCATGATTTTGTAAATCTCTATAAGGTCACCCCTCAGCCTCCTACAGGGAAAGAACTCCCAGATTATCCAGCCTTTCCTTATAACTCAAACCTTCCAGTCTCAGTAACATCCTTGTACATCTTTTTTTGCACCCTTTGCAGTTTAATGACATTCTTACCGAAAGCATGTTTTAAAAACATTTCCTTCTCACTTCAGTCCACAATTTTTAAAAGCACGGAATAAAAAATGCACAGCTTTTGTAACAATTCAAACTGAGTGGAAACTAGTCCCTTATGGCCTTTGTAATCTTGGTAGTCTTTGTGAATGTGGCCCATAAGCGACTCTGGCTTTCTCTCTCTACCTTTACTGTAAACATTAAGTATGAATATTCCACATATCATACATACTTAAAATACCACAAACACTACAACCAGCAAACAAGAGTTAAACTTTCCTCCTTCAAAGGATGGTCAGTCTTATAAACTTTACAGATCGTTTTTGCTTCTATTTCTAAAGACACTGAAATGGCGTCATTTGTATTGTGAGTTATAATTTCCTTCGGGTTTATGTACAATTTCATGAGTGACACTCTTCCTGGGTCTTCACTCCAAGAGCACTGACAATAAACCTAATTCCAATTTTAATTCTAATTCTAATTCTAATTCTAATTCTGATATTCTTCATTGCAAATTGGCATAGTAAATGCCAGAAAGATAAACACCAAGACTGATTTCAAGGGTGCAGTCTAACCTCATGGGTTCAAAAGTAAATAAATGATAAAGATACGTTAATATAAATGGAAAATAATCCAATACAAAGTAGCATGATACGCACACCAGAAGACCATGCAAGTTGTATTTCTTTCTTCCAATATTGTATGTTGGTTTGTTTCCCACATTCCATCCCGAAAGCTGGATTTTGTTTTTAATTTCCACATACTAACATCAATGCAAAATATACAAATGTCCATTAAATTACAGTACCAGCACAGCTGCTGAGCTTAAAAACGCCCAAAACCTTTGTAACAATCAATCATTCTCATAGTCATTCCTAACTGGCTGATTTTAGCTGGGTTGATATATGGCTGGATTTTGCAGTGGATACACTTGGCAGGCTTTAGATAATAACAACTGGGACCCATTTCCACTGCCACAATTTTCATCAAGACACGAGAAGTATGTTTGCTGGTACAGGTTCTGAATCCACACTCGGCATTGGTATCACTTAACTCTGTCAAATTATCATGGAATCAGGCCAGCTTTTAAATGAATAGCAAATAGTGGTCCTTCGAGGGGTGGTGAACCAGATGAGGGAACCTTTTGAGAGGACCATGGAAGGTGGATTGAGGGGCTGAAGTTAGCATGGAAGATATGAGAAGCCATTGGGGTGTGTGGGAGCATGAGATGGCATGGAGAATGCAGGGGAATGTGTCAGGTGGTGAGGTGTGAGTGCTAAAGGGCCAATTTTTTTTAAACGGCTTTTATTACAAAGGAACAAAATGCCAATTCACAGGATGAGATATTAAACTATCTCTGTACCTGTCAGTGACTGTAGCTGCCTCTGAACATTTTCTGGGAGTGGTGGTGCCCAACTCCAGTATGCATCCTCCCCCTCCAAAATGAAAATCTCACCTTAACAGGCACTTTCTCTCATGGTGGGTGTGGCAAGATGGCCACACCCAAAATGTTTCCATTAAACTCTCAAATTCAACCACTTACTATTTTTGTTAAAACTTATCAGAATAGATTCACAAACGTACCTTTTTTCGTAAAGCCAAAACAATTTCTTCCATGGATAACCTTTCTAAGTTTATGGCAGACTCTTCTGTCACTGTTCGATGATAACCTGGTTGTTTCTCTTGCTCTTGAGGAGAAGCTTCCCAGTTCATTGCTTTGTGAAACCATAATTCAACAAACACATAAATTTTCAAGGTAATTATTTGCTTAATCTCCTTCTTACAGTCAAACATGAGTCAATTTGGTGTTCTTCACATGAAGGATAACCAATATGAAGTGATATGACCAAATTTCTTTGCAATTTTATCATTCAGTATCCGAATTAAGCATCAGCAGTTCCCATATTCTTATAAAATCCATACTTAGCAGGCCCTAGTCTATTGGTTTCTGGTCAGCCTCATGTCTTTCCCATCCATAAACTTCAGCTGTTCCAAATATTTGCCACCCATATCCAAACCCACACTAATGCCGGTTCATCACCATCAGTGTGTCCTGACTTACATTAACACCTGACCCACCAAAGTGTCCATTTTAAAATTTTTATTCTATGCCCCACATGACTTTGGTAATCTCCTCCAGCCCTACAACTCTGAAACCTCTGCATTCATCCAATTTTCTGTCGGCACCACATCCTTTGCCCCACCAGTCATAGTCATACTTGGAACCGTCTATCCCTAAGCTCTGGAGTTCTTTCCTCAATCCCCTGGATTTCTCTTTCTGCTGTGAAATTGAGCCTTAAAACCTACCTCTTTAATCAAGCTTTTAGTTATCCACTCTAATTGATGTCTTTTTGCTTCAATTAGAATGTTTTCTCCCCCTGTAAAAAAACCTTGTGATATTTTACCAAATTAAAAATGTTCTAAAGATTTTACTATAAACCAACTTGAACTTTTCCCTTTACTTTCCTCCCTTAATTGTTTCCTCGCAGAGGTGACAGCTTACAAATGTGTATGTATCCACAGACAGCAGCTCACTGCCAAGAAACAAAAAAAAAACTGCATTTCTGTTCATTTCGAAAAAAATCATGTCATAGGCATGATCATATTACAGTTACGTGGATAAAATCAATGCAAATGTTTTCTGGATTTTCTCCCTTTCCAATCAAAAACTCTCCCACTTACACAGTGTTTCTTAATTAAATTCTTCGTGACATATATTCTAATGATCCCCTCTGCAAACCAGTCTTGTACAAAATCAAAAATGGGATCAGAAAGAGCATGTTGTCACATGGGCTACAGGTGACAAATATAAAATCAACATAAATGCAATTAAACAAACAACTGTGAATGCTGGAGATCTGAAATAAACAAAAACAGACAGTGCTGGAGAAACTCAGTTGGTTTGGCAACATTTGAAGGGAGAAAACCGAGTTAACGTTGAGTCCTTTGACCCTTCCAAAACACTGACACGATTGTCTCTCCACAGATGCTGCCAAATATAAATCTACAATGGTTTTCTCTTCAGATCACTGTCTAATGCCTTGTTGGAAAGTATGTGGATGAATACATTTGGCTGTGATATTGATTAGCCTGAAAACACTTGCTGTCTTGGTTTCAAAGTAAGAAATCATCATTGGTACGAATAGAGAACAGTGAGCAAGCCATAAGCTGGTGGAAGAAATTTGAAATTGTCCTTCACCCCTAACTACAAATCATAATCTAAAGACTCCTTAATAATATACCATTCTTAGGAAACCTCAGCCAAAGATTCTCTTTAGCTAGCACCTGGATGTCCAATATGGACCAAGTCACTAGGCTTCAATCTTCCCTAACTATGAAGTAACTGGCCTCCATTGATTGTCTTTTCCTCAATGGAAGAACAGAAACCTAAAGCATTTTTGCCAATGACACACATACATTGTTACAAAGATCAACTATTTCCCCATTTGTAAAATTACCCAATTTCATCTCACCTCAGCCTGTCTAGGACTGAAACTCTTGTCCATGCCTTAGGTTAAGAACAGACTTTACTATTGCAACTGAACTTTGGCCGTCTTGCCAATTTCTACCTTTTGTGAACTCTTCTGCCTACTTCTGAATTTGCCTATGTGCCTAGTGACCTCTACTTAAGTTCTTATCAGAATGTTGTTGATGCGGCTGGAGATAACCATGCCATCTCTTCTTGGAAGGCTTGTCAAAGTAAATGCCAATCAGACAGTGATAAGGCCACCAGCGGGGCTTCCCTAGAATCACGAGACTAGAGGGGGAAGGCCTGTGTCGTGAAAACTGCTGCATGTTCAGTTGCACCTCAGGGGAAGCTGTAGTTACTGCCAGACAGTTTCGAGGACCACTGAGGATCTTGGACTGAAATTAGTGATACATGGGAGCAGAGGTATGTGGTTTCTCAGGTTGTGGCTAACAGAAGGAGCAGTTCCCAGTGGGCCTCTTTACACCATATGTCCAGTCCTTTGATCAAGTACTGATTGATTTTGATCACTTAAGGACCTCACCTGGTAGTGGGCAGAAAGGCTGAGCAAGGGTCCTGTTCCCAGGGGAGGCGAGAAGGCAGCAGGGGATCAAATATGCCACCACCCTGCCCAACATGTCTCTTTCTTGCCTCCAAATTTGTTAATTCCAGGGCCAAAGCTTCCGCCATGGTTTTCAATTTTCTCCACGAGATCAACCCTCCCTGTCCCTGTAATCTCCTTCAGTTCCAGAACCTTCAGAGGTAATTGTGATTTCCCAATTTTGTTCCCTTGAGCATCTTCAATTTTTATTGCTCCACTTGGAACCTATGTCCTGAACTACTAAAAAGGTCTCAACTCTGAAATTCCCTTTGTAAACTTTGTTGCCTCTCTCTCCTTCTTGCTTTGAGAGTCATTAAAACCATCTCTTTGCTTAAAACTATTGTCATCAGCACTAATAACTGTTTGCACTGTTAATTGGTGTCAAATTTTATTTGATAATGTTGCTTTGAAGCACCTTGGGAAATTATATGATGCTAAATTTGTGGTGTAAATACAATTTATTGGCATGGGGAGTTTACACGTTCAAATGTTCTATCCATTCATACTGGTACTTAATCTGGTGATTTACAAGGCATTGTCAGGAACACAGCAGTTATAAAGCTCACAACAGCTTTTCTGGAATTGCGCTCCCAATATGACTTCCACATCATCTGAAAAAATTTTGGGCAAATCACAAATATACATGATTGTTGAAAGAAGTAAACAACATCATTAGTTTGAGACCATACCTTGTGCCACACTTTCTGAAACATGCTTTTTGTAAGGTTCAATACAAATGCCCAGTTTTTGTAGAAATTCCTTGTAATTCACTGTTCCAGTTCTAGAAAGTTGATGTCGAGAACAAAGCCTGATGGAAACAAACAGCTCGATCAGAAAAATAAACCAAAACATAACAAATGAGCGGAACATAGTTGTGGTGATGGGAACCCCACCAACCAGCTCAAGAACCAATGACAGCCCCACAGCACCATTCCAGAGGATACTCAAGTGATGTTTCAGTGCAATAAAAGCAAAATACTGCGGATACTGGAAATCTGAAACAAACACGGAGAATACTGAAAACTCAGCACATCTGGCAGCATCTGAGCAGAAAGAAAGAGCGAACATTAATCCAGTATGTCTATTAGAAGTATTTTAAAAAAGAAACAGCTTTTTCCAATGCCTTTCAGTTCTGAAGAAGAGTCATACTGGACTCAAAATGTTCACTGTTTCTTTGTCCACAAATGTGGCCAGTCCAACTGAATTTGTCCAGCATTCTCTGTTGTTATCTGATATTTTAGTGAAATCAGGCATTTGCATGGACAGTATCTGGCCTCCCATGAAATAAAGGCTCTGGAAATCTTGCTCCCAGAATCTGCAAAACAATCGGAGGCCTCTAATTGTCCAGCAGTTTGGTCTACAGCAACAGCAGGAGCAGTGGCCACTGTGGATATTGTGTGAGGGCCTAGACAGAGGATCGGTGCTGGATCCTTCAGAGTCAGAGAAGTGCATGGACAGGGGTTCTCAGGGAGGGCGACTGAGGCCAGACTCGGGTAGGCTGAGCACTGGCCAGAAGTTGGGTGAGGAGGTATGAGCCGGACCGGTTTTCTGGGACAAATTTGACAGCAATGACAAGCGGTTGATTTTCCAATACCAGGTCCCTTAATTAAGGACAGAAAACATTCCTAGATGCTGGGTTCCTTTGTCCACCATCAGTTGAATAGCAGCAGCAGCGAGATGAAGTCCTCAAGGGTAACCTAAGGCCCTCTGTTGGCCTCTAGATGAGAATGCTTCCCACAAACCTTCTCATCTAAAATTAATCTAAGGGAAGTGAGAACACAGTAGACTTCTATCATGCACCCACCTTCCCATCACATGACACCCTACAGATGTGCCTCTTGTAAGGCATTAAGTTCCATCCTGTGGGTCAGTTACGGTTCAGTAGTATTACACTCAATTCTTGAGTCAGAATGTTTTAGATTCCAGTCCAGAAACCTGAGCACATAACCTAACTTGACATTTTAGTGTGGTAGCCCGGAGAGAATGCCGCATTGTCACAGCTGCCATCTTTGGAATGAGAAACTGAACTGATGCCCCCTCATGCTGCGTACGATTTTGGTATCTTGCTCATATTCTCTAGTATTTATCAAATGGGAATGCATTTTCCATCCGTGATGAAAAATGCAGGATAACTTTCATTCATTAAATCAAATGGGAATTGGTACCATCAACTTCTGATCAGCAATAACGTAATTAATAATACAACAACAAAACACAATTATGTATTAACGGTAGGCTATTCTAGGACTTTCAGAGCAAAGACTTATTACTTTTCTGTTGAAATATAGAAGACTGATCATCTTACTGCCTTGTAATCATTGATTACATACTTCACTATTCAAAATTGTTATGCTTCTGGTAATAGGCACATTTTCTGACTATAGCCCATGAAAGTAATTATATTTTGGAAAGAGGTCATGCAGTGATTGATTACTACGACAGTGGATTGATAAAGAGCATCGAGAATCAAGGAACAGCCAAAATTCATTCAGAAACATCAAAATCGTGCATCTGCTTATACTGACCTTTCAAATTGAGAATCTGTCATTCGAAAGCAGTAGCTCTCAAGAACTCGACGAACTTCATAGCACCGAATGTGCTCATCCTTGTTATAATCAAACAACTTAAAGGCTCTGATGAGGTTTTTTAAATTATTTGAAATCTAAGTTAGAGAAAGAATAAGAGTTTTCAAAAGTCAATAACTAATTATGAACACTGAAGACTAGGGATGAATGTTATGGCCTGCTGTCAGTGACAGCCAGGGAGTGTGCATGCAAAATAAAGCAGCTGGCCAGTCTTCTGCCTTCCTGCCCACGCCCGGATTGTCCTTTCTCCCCATTCTGTGAAATGAGAGGGCATGTCAGGAGGGAGGGATGGGAGCCGGGTAAAGCGTCAAGCATCCTGCTTGATACATACATACATAATTAATATTAATACAAAATTGTAGCCTTTGGCCTGCTGAAACTCTTGACTACACAATTACCTACCACTGTGGGCCTCATTCAGCATTAGGGCACTTACCCCAAAATAGTACGTCCAGTTTATTTCTCCACTGGAGACTCTCTAACCCTCACTATCCTCCCACCTCTGGCCACAACTGTGTCCTCTTAAAAATCCTTGGACTTACCTGAAATCTGGGAGACAACTTCACTCCTTGTGGCACTATTTAGTCCACAGAGCTGGCAGGTTATCAGACTTGCCTGCAGTTCACTAGGGCAAAGCTTCCTACACCTTAGGACCAGAAGTCCCATTTTCATCCAATTTATTGCCACCACCTGTAGGGAAGCTAGATTTCTTGTCTGTGAGACACTAAACAACTTTTTACTCAGAGAGATTTTGGGAGATGGGAGCAGCAAATCTATCCCCTATAAAGGCCACCCCCAGGCAATGCAAACAAGCCAATTTTCTCCATGCATCCATCCATCTGAGGTGGTAGAACTGGCCTTAGTTCAATTCTTCATCCAAATATAGCATCTATGACAGTGCAGCATTTGCTTGGTGTTGCACTGAAGTACCACTGTAGATATGTGCTGAAGTCTCTGGACTTCAACTCACAACTTTCTGACACACAAGTGAGTGCAACCATTAAACCAGAAGAGCTATCTTTTCATCTGGCTTGAAATGATAATGTCAGCAGAAAGAATCCTGCACTAAATCAACTTGGACAGTACAACTCTGGTATTTCTAAATGAAACGGCCAATCTAATGTGAAGATATCATGATTGCTTATTCACACAAAAAATTAGGTAAGTTTGCAGCCAAGCCCACGGTTAGCATATCTCTCTGGAATATTTGTTCACTTGTGAGCAAGATCTTTGCCATTGATGACCTTTTTTGTGGTGAACTGCATTGTTGTTTTAGGAACAGGGCCTCATACATTTGACATGGAGCTGTCACAAGGAATATAATGGAAAATGCCTTGTAAACAGCCCGGGAATATCAATACAATATCCAGCTCAAATGCTGATCTGAATACTGTGTAAGAGACTTACACATATTTTTCCTGATTTGAGTCTATAAACTGAAATGGAAGTTGGACAACTCTACAGGAAAAATACCAAGAGAGTTTCACAACTTGGAAAAGTCAATTAATGCACATTCTAAGCTGTGCAAGACAATGTTACTTTTTAAAGAAATTGGGGCATGTTTTGAGACTGAGCAGTTCCAAGGGTTTTTGAGGCAAGAAACTTCTCCCTGATGGTGTCCTCTAATCAAGTTGCAGTTTGTTATGAAGCTGTAAGTGTCAGGGCAGCCAGAAATATCCAGAGCCTACAAGCTGAAAATATCACTCCCCCTCTCCCCATGAGGGTGAAAAGGCAGAAAACCAAGAAAATTTAATAGAAGGGGTTTAAGGAAAAAAAGACCTAGATCCATCAGCTCAACTTTCGAAGTGAAGAGCAAAACACAATTCTTTACAGACAATTGCACATCAGAGAAAATTTAATCCACACTTGAAATCTAGACTCTTGATCTTTGGAATTTTCTTTTCCTTCTCTATTCCTTCTTCCATCCATAATATTTCTGACAAATCATCTGTGGTCTGTCACCTGAAATCATGAATGAATGTATGTGTATATTTTTGGGGTTTTAAAGGGATATAGTTCAAATCACATAACGTAGAATAGAAATCCTTTCTTTTTCCACCATGTGTTCAGATGTGTTATGATAATAGAGTTATTTTCTGTTAATGATGAAACCTGGTGTGAATTGCATTTGTCCTGAACAGAGGATGTCAGACAAATTGGTCATCTTAAATAAAAACCAAAAGAACTGCAGATGCTGTAAATCAAGAACTAAAACAAAGTTGGTGGAAAAGCTCAGCAGGTCTGGCAGCATCTGTGAAGGAGAAAACAGAGTTAGTGTTTCGGGTCCGGTGACCCTTCCTCAGTTCTGGCCATCCTGGTGGTCTGATTGGGCTTTTATACATTTTGTGACAGCTTGAGGAAGAGGGACTAATGTTTATTGCTGCACTCTTCTCAGTAAAGTCGTGACAACTGTGAAGCAAAAAGCCACTGCAGAATTTTAAGCAATTAAGTTTAAAAAGCCTTATACCCGTCCGAGTCCAGTGAAGAAGTACATAATGAGTTATAAACATGTCACGGTGCTGGAGACCTCTGTGGGAATTTGTGTGGACACAACTCCTTGTATTTGAGTGGGTCCCTTTGTTAAGGATGAAGGGCATCATGAAAATGAAACCAATTAGTCTACAATTCCATGCTTCATTATTCATTATTGATCTTACATAATTGGTTGACCCCAAAGAATTGGGTGCAGGAAGTAAGCCTTTGTGACATATGGGTCACTAAGACAAAGTGTTCCTTTATGTTTGACAGGAATAATAGTCTTTTTCTCAGTCTTGGTTTAATCATTTTTCCTCATGAAGAACCATTGCCCATAAGGTGTACAATGTACCTTTAAGAACATGAGTGGAATCTTACATTAAAAGGCAGTTGATTGATTTTTAGCTTTTGCCACATAACAGGGGACTTCTCACCTTTTCTCTGAGATGGTTCTCAATCTCTTTTACTGTCATATCGCACTTGGACATAACAGAACTGCTCCTGGAGAAAGAAAAAAAAAGGGAGAATAGATAAAGAATCTGTTGCTATTGTGAAATAAACTCAGCGCAAAGACGGTTTAAAAATATAAGGCACTATTGCAAATGACTCCTGCTATTCGCATTTCTTACAGGGTACAACAGTGGATCAGCAGCATCCAGAGCAGGTATGGACTATACTGTGTGACAGTGATTCAGAAATCAGACTTTTAGAAAAAGTAAATTAAATTGGATTAAATAGTGTTGTTGTGACTTTTTTTTCAATTTAGAGAAATAAAAACCTATTTTAGTTTAAAATTGATTAAATAATCAGTTACACAGAATATTTGGTTAATTACATTACTGAGATCTGCCCCCATAATTGTTGGCTAGACTTGGTTATTTTATAAATTGCAGATTGTCTTTACCATCTACCTAAATTCCAGCTAAGTGTGTTTTAAGAGCAAGGTTACCTCCTGTGAATGTGCAATTTCAATAGCCCAATTGATAAAACAATTACTGAATGTGGAACGCTATTCATAGAAAGCAAGAAGATCTCAGCGGTCACAGCTGTAGTGTTAGTAGTTACTACAGTGAGCTTCAGCTAGGGAAAGAAACAAACATTTTTTGGGCTCTAACTAAATTGCTATTTGGAGACACTAGCTGGAAAATGCTTATAGGTGGACATTAGGGGTTGAAAGTAATTTTTGAAGATTCACAAGAAAAACAAGAATATCAGACTGTTTTGAGATAATTTGAACATCATTTTTTTTCCACATCCTCATATCCTCTGAATACAACATTCATTTTCATTACAGTCAACAGAACTGAATATTAGGCACTGTGTACATTGGGCAGCTGATTGCCTAGTTGAGATATATTTCTCCCCCTAGATAGTTTTGCTTGGCTGTAATGTACTCCGTGATTAAACAACCTGCTTACAGACACCATATAGACTCAAAAGAATTGGCACCAGGGTGAGGGATCAGAAGCACTCACTGCCCTAGGCTCTGAACTGACCAGGCAATAATGCTTTCCAGAGTTGAAGGGAATAAAATCTCTTTTTAAAGTTAGCACAGACATTTATTTTATCATCATCACAGGTACAACGCATGTTGCAATTACCTGCAGGCCCTTAGTCAAGAGTTTAATATATACATTCAGCTCAGACTATGATTTGAATGAGAAGCTGAACACTGAGTCAGTAATTCATTTTAAGCTGTGAAACATCAGTGAGTTTCTAAGGATTCTTGACAGGGTACATGGTGGGTGGATATTTCTCCTTGTGGGAGGCACAGTTTCAAAATAAGGGTCTTCCCATTTAAGAGACGAGGAAGAAGTTTCTTCTCTCAAAAATTCTTAAGATTATTGGGAATTCACCAACCCAGAAAGTTGGTGGAGGCTACATCATTGAACATATTCAAGGCTCAGTTAGACAACTTTTTGATTCCAAGGATGTCAAAGTCTATTTTGGGATGGGGAGTGTGGATGTAGGTAGGAAAGGGCAATTAAAGCTGCAATCAGACCAGCCATGATCTGAATGAATGGCATAGCGAGCTAAGGGGTCCAAAGGGTCTGGTTCCTCTGGTTCTTACATTAACATCATCCTTTCTTTTCAGATCTCCTTAATCAAATGCTCTCAAGATTCAGTTACTTTTATCTGAAAACAACACTTTTATTTCACTGTCCTAAGTATCATTAGTTAATGCCATAGATCAAGAAAACACTGAAACAGCATCTGTGAGGGAAAAAGGCAAGTAATGATATTTTGGGTGTGCGCAATCTTCTTTATTTCAGAATTTCAGTTTTTCCATTCTATTTTAGGTGCTAACCTGCTAACTGCATTTCTCACTTGAGATCCATCAGATGTACAGAATTGGTCCAGAAATACATTGTAAGGAACTGTTTCATCACTGTTGATGGGAAGCTTAAAAAGACAAGAAGGAATATGTTTATAATGAATACTAAACACAAAGTTTAGTTCCAATGCAAGGAATATAAGCCTGTTCATCTCAAAGAAATATCATTTATTTCAAAAGGGTGCTATGACTTTGAGGATCAGTAGCCCATTTCTGATTTTGTAATTGTCTGGCAGCTCATTATTTTAAAATTTAATGCATCTCTGTAATAGTTTTGAACATATCTGTTTCTATCTACAACTTTTAGAATTTACTTCATCTATGAAACAACTTCTGTTTTTCTGAAGTTTACAATTATAATAGATAAGGTTTCATCTAACAAGCAAGTAACCAGAGTCCACAAAGGAGCAGAGACATCCCTCTCTTTTGGAAAGAAACAAAATTACATAATTTGAAAGGCACCACTACATATCAAGCATGGAGCAAAGCAAGGGTGAAGGTCTCCATGGACTACAACTGTTGGCACAGAGACTGAACACACCCTACTGGTATCATTCTGCACCACATACTAACCATCTAATCATATGAGCTCCCAAGCCCACACCCTTCAAATCAGATAATTAAATTTGTTACCTCTCAACATTATACTTACTACAAGTTACATTTCGCTAGTTGTAGCAGGGTATCCATTGTATTCTTTGCCATTTGTTACGTACTTGTGACCTTTTTGTATTGTGCTTTGTATTTTGCCATTTTTCAATAGGTCACGTAAAACCTTTCATCCCAGCGCCAATGTAAAAATCAGTTAAATTTCATCAACGCATTCTCTATGATGCGTTTGACAAGGTTCCTCACAGTAGACTGGTTAGCAAGGTTAGTTCACATGGAACAGAGGGAGAACTAGCTATTTGGATACAGAGTTGGTTCGAAGGTAGGAGACAGACGGTGCTGGTGGAGGGTTGTTTTTCAGATTTGAGACCTGTGACCAGCGATGTGCCACAAGGTTTGGTGCTGGATCCACTGCTTTTTATCATTTATGTAAACAATTTGGATTTGAACATAGGAAGCATGGTTAGTACATTTGCAGATGACACCAAAATTGGTGGTATAGTGAACAGCAAAGAAGGTTACCTCAGAGTAAAATGGGATCTTGATCAGATGGGCCAATGGGCTGAGGAGTGGCAGATGGAGTTTAATTTAGATAAACGTGAGGTGCTGTATTTTGGAAGGGCAAATCAGGGCAGGACTTATACACTTAATGGTAAGATCCTGGGGAGTGTTGCTGAACAAAGAGACCTTGGAGTGCAGGTTCAGAATTCCTTGAAAGTAGAGTTGCAGGTAGATAGAATAGTGAAGGTGGCATTTGGTATACTTACCTTTATTGGTCAGCGCAATGAACATAGGATTTGGGAGTTATTGTTGAGGCTGTACGGGATATTGGTTAGGCCACTTTTGGAATACTGCATTCAATTCTGGTCTCCCTGTAACAGGAAGGATGTTGTGAAACTGAAAGGGTTCAGAAAAGATTTACAAGAATGCTGCCAGGATTTGAGGGTTTGAGCTATGGGGACAGGCTGAATAGGCTGGGACTATTTTCCCTGGAGCATCGGAGGCCAAGGGGTGGCTTGATAGAGGTTTATAAAATCATGAAGGATATAGCTAGGGTGAATAGCCAAGGTCTTTTTCCCAGGGTAGCAGAGTCCAAAACTAGAAGGTATAGGTATAAGGTGAAAGGACAAAGATTTAAAAGGGATCTAAAGGGCAACCTTTCTCAGAAGATGGTGCGTGTATGGAGTGTACTGCCAGATGAAATAGTAGAAGATGATACAATTACAACATTTAAAAGGCATCTGGATGGGTATATGAATAGGAAGGACTTTGAGAGATATGGGTCAAATGTTGGCAAATGGGACTAGATTAATTTAGGATATCTGGTTGGCATGGACAAGTTGGACCGAAGAGTCTGTTTCCGTTTCCATGCTGTATATCTCTGACTCTATAACGCATACCCAACCCTCATGACATTTCAGTCTTCATCACTCTATACCCTAAAATAATTTTTTTCTGTCAAAAATGTATCACAAGAATTCACAAATGCATTTACATATTGGGATCCAACAACTTTCCACCTTGCAGAAATAGTAAAGTGCCCCACCAGTGCTTTCTAATATCTTGATCCACTGGTACCTTCACTTTCTCCTAACATTATGAAGTCCTATGTGATTGCCCATTTGTAAACAAACACAATTCAATTTCATCATCTTGTATCTGAATTACCGTAATTCTCAAGAACCACCCTGTGATGAGAATTCTAATGGATACAGAAATGGGTGTTTTACTTTCTGGATGTGGTCAATACTCCCAATGCCCTTGCATAAGCAGCAATCTCCAAATGAATTGTTTTTCATTCATTCACGGGAGGAGGACGTTGCTGGCTAGGCAGCATTTATTGTTCATCCCTAATTGCCTAGTGGGCACTTGAGTCAACCACATTACTGTGGGTCTGGAGTCACATGTCAGCCAGACCAGGTAAGGATGGCAGTTTCCTTCCCTAAAAGGACATTTGGGAACCAGACGGGTTTTTGCCCGACAATCGACAATAAATTCACGGTCATCATTAGATTCTTAATTCCAAATATTTTATTGAATTCAAAATTACACTGTGGCGGGATTCGAACCCAGGTCCCCAGAATGTTATTCAGGTCTCTGGATTAACAGTCCAGCGATAACACCACTAGGCCATTGCCTCCCCCATTTCTCAATCATTAATTTCAATACTACAGGGAGCAAGAATCTCGTAACTCTAAATGTTCACTTTTTTCATCTAGGCACTAGGTTTATTTTAGATAACTTATGCACAATGATTAAGTTGTAATGGGACATAGTGGGAAATGTGATTTGAGTTTTGGACACATGTGGATTGAACCCAAGTTACTGAAGAGTATGGTTTAGGGGACTTCATAAACATGGTCAAGGAGAAGTCATGCTGCTGGATATCAAACTCCTCATGAAACAAAAGTGGTTTAAAAAAAAAGTGTAATTAATTGGATGGCTCCTTTGAGAAGCTGACTGGCCTCTTTTGGTGTGATATTACTCTATAATTCTAATGTTTGGATAAGAGGAAGGGAGTGGAACTGGATGAGGTGAATTGGTGAAGAAGGGGAGGAAAAGAAATCCTACTGGGAACACATTTGCAGGGAGTTAGGGGGAAGAAAATTATAGAGTTGTGAGGGAGCATATCTAGCTAAAACAAGGAAAAAAGAAAGAAATTGGCAGAGATATTGAAGACTGGTCTATGGGGAAGTTATTGTTAATATAAGTAGGTTAGGGGACCTCACAATGTTCAATGGAATGCAGGTGGGTCTTTTAAACTGGTTGCCTTTACATCTTCCAATCTCCAACTCCACCTGAAGCCTGTTTTCAGAGGCGCAATCTTGACTCCAACCCATCCCCACCATGAAGACAGCAAAGGCAGGCACTGGCAGTCAGGGATCACACCAGCAGGAAATGGCCTAATTCCCAATTCTAAGTTCAGTGTTGAAAATCCACCCCAAAACTTCAGATCCATGCCCTTCATCAGAACTCATCATGTTCTCCATAGTTACTGCATGACCTGCATTCGTACCATCTTGCTTTAGAATTTTCAAGCGTCCGACCAATGCACGAGTTAGATTTCACACGAGCCTTTCAAATATGGGAGTAATCCTTAACACTTGAGTCAACTGGGATCAAATAAGTCAAAATTAGGTTTGAATGAGGAAACAAAGTTTTCTGGAGGCAATTTTTCTTATTGACAATTTCAAAACAATGGTGCTCACTGGAAAATAGTTTCAAAGGAAAATAGTTGTTGAAGAAGGAATTTCACCAAACTTCACAGTTCTAACCAAGTTCAAAGCTGTTGCATTTTAGTCAGGATGACAGAGTTCCTTGCAGATAGTAACCACTGAAGCAATAGCTCTCAAGGCACTGGAGATGATTAAACTCAAATCAATAGTTTAATCCAATACAAATCACAAAAAAAAAGTTGGAATTTATCCTTTGACAGGGTAAATATACCTTAAGAAAACATTTTAAAACGTTGGGCAGTAAATGTCCAAATTCCAAACATCTCATCCACAAGGAGCATAACTAACTACACAGAATGGAACTTGAAATTGCTCAGGAGTGAAAAAGATCAATAATGATAATAATAGTAGTAAAATTCTCAGCTGCTTTAAATTGAAGCATCAGACAATTTTTTTTGCTCAGTTACCCTTGCAAGTAGGTCCTGGAACTGTTTTGGATTAAGAGGCAGCAGAAACTTTTCAATCACTTTTCGGAATTCGTCTTTGGTCACCGTTAGGTTTCGATGTACATCATAAGCATAGAAAGCTCGCCTCAAGTCTGACTCTTTCTCTTTTGCTCTCTCAGCCAGAATATGTTCAATTTTCGTAATAGAATATCTTAGATCTGACTCAGAGAATAATGTCCCTAAGAAACAAATGTCAGATTAAACTTAAACAACTGAAACACACTACAAAATAACAGCAGTGTAACATTTAACCTGCTTCAAACAAAACAACATACAAACATATGGTGACAAACAATAAGAAATTTATAAAAGTGCCATCAAAAGGGGAAACAGCACTGGCAAAAACGTCAATTATTTTGTTTACCAACTCAATATATAATTACATAAAACAAATAGAAAAACAATAGTTTAACAAAGGCATAAAACAGAAATTACAAATGTTTTATTCCCACTCCACATAAAAAGGGAAGTGAACTGATATAGTCTCTGACAAAAAGTGCAAAGTACAAACTGAGGGAAATCAAACAGGGTAGTCAGTTAGACAATAGACTTCCATCTCATACAGAATTGGTATCTCAAATCCAGCCCAGAATAATCGAATCAAATTCGCATTTATCTGCTGACTCAATTCAGTCAGTCAATAATGTACATAGAGCACAAATCTGCCTGTAATTGAAATTAATTAACAATCTCATTCACTCACATAAGCCAGTGGATCACTGATGTCAAAATGGGAAAACTGATGTCACATTTTGCAAATGTTGGTGTATTGTTTTATAAACAACTGTGGGCTGAACTTTCTATTAACCAGCAAAATTACCAATAAAAAATTTATTAAGAAAAAGCCAATTTATTATTTTAATACAATTTTTTTCCATATCACTTTACCTGAAGACGATTGCAGTGAACCTCGACTGAAGTTACGTGATGAGCTCCTCCCTGGTGTTGATTGAGGTCTTGGAGTAAGTGGCATTCCACGAGACTCCAGACAAAGAGACCCCAGGTCTGGGGAAGAGCCAACCATCCTCTTTCAATACTGTACTAATAATCTAAAAGCCCAAGATTTAAGGTTCAACTTGGTAAAAGAGTAAACACAGAGAATGCTGGAGGAACTCAGCAGGTCTGGCAGCATCTGTAGAGTGAGAAACAGAGTTGACATTTCAAGTCTAGTAGGACTTCTTCAGTTCTGAAGTAGCACTTTACCTTTGTTTGAGTGGTAATATGATAGGCTGCGATTACAAATCATATTTTTATATACCCGATTCCATTCTGTTTTCAGCGTGACTAACTTCCTATTGCGCTTCCTCAATCTTAACGGGGGATAAGATGACCTGTCACTACCAGCATCCAAAGAATTAGGTCACTTGCTTCTGCCAGTGCAAGGGTTTGGTTACTGGTCTCAGTCAGTACACAGGTTTTGGTTACCTGTCACACTCCAGCAACAAGAGCTGACTTCCTGCCCCACCAATGTCCAGGTGTTGGTCACCTGTCCCTTTGGTACCCAGGCTCTGGTTACATGTCCCCCAGAAATCTGCCCCTACTCGATGCTGGTTATCTATCCCCGGGATGACTAGCTGTTGGTTACCTGTCACCCCCAGTGCCCAGCAGCCGGTTACCTCTCCCCCCAGTCCCCAGGGTGCTGCTTTACTTGCCTCTGCCTGTAGTTCCCCTCTCTCCTCCCGGGCTCTAGGGGCTGCCTCTGCCTCTCCTGTCGCACAGACGCGCTCGGTTGCTAAGCATTTCGGTTGCTAGTCAGAATCCTAAACGCGGTCCTCATTGGACCTCATCATGGTGACCGCAGAACAAGACAGTTCCTGATTGGCGCAGCTCTCGGTGGGCGGGGTTAGGGGGGTTGGCGTGAATTGCTACAACCTGTCCATCAGTGAACCAAAGATAACAAGGTGTAGAGCTGGATGAACACAGCAGGCCAAGCAGCATCAGGGGAGCAGGAAGGCTGACGTTTCGGGCCTAGACCCTTCTTCAGAAAAC